TGTGGACACCAGCTAAACACAGCTGGGGCTGCCTTTTCTTGTCTGCGAACCGACAAGCTTATGACGATAATGCCTTACTCAAAGGATTTCTGTAAAATGTAGACAATACGACGTTCATTAGTGCTTGTCTGTCCTGGCCTGAGCAGGGGAAGCATCTGGGAACTTGTGAAGGACTCTGAGCCAGGGCCCCCAGAGTGGCCGACTCAGCTTGCCAGGTGGGTAACAGGATGGCCATGGGTGGTTTTCAAAGCTCCCTGGGTCCCTCTACCATGTGCTGGGGCTGTGACCCACTGCTGTGTGTGCAAAAGTGACCGCCAGGCTCCCAAAGTGGGAGCATGTCAGCTGATTGGGTATCTTTGGATCCCTATTCAGACACCAAACACAGGCGTGGTGACCTTGCCTTTCAACCTGGCAAGTGATTTTTCTCTAATAGCAGTTCCTTTCCTTCTGCTTGAAGAGCAGCCATTAGCATAGGTGATCCTGTAGTTCAGCGGGTCACCCCACACGGTTTACTGATGCTTCTGTCTGTTCAGTGCTAGAGTGAGCGGATTAAGGCAAGCCTGAATGACACCAGGTCCTGTAGACAGAGGGGAGCATGGGGCTCTGCACACAGACCCCCAACCAAGGGGACACATACCAGCTGCCTCCTGAGCCCAATGCCTAGAGCTGTCCCTGGGCCTCGCCTCCATCTCCTCCTTGATAAAACAACGTGAGGGTGACAGTGACGGCTTTGCAGGCGTGGGAGGGACACCATGGGGAGGTGCTTAGGAGGTGGGAGTGTGGAGGTCCAGGAAAAAGTCCAGTAATCGTGACCAGAGCCTACAGTAATAGGAGGATTAATTATTTTCTCTGTAGATGAGGGCATGCTCTCAGGGAACGGGAGACGAAGTGGCTGCCCCAGTGATACCAGGAGAGAGGGGAAGAAGGGCTTCCTCTCCCCACACTCTGGGGCCTAGACTCAGTCAAATTCAAAGCAGTTTGTGATTCTGGAGGTGCTCTGCCAATTTTTGGGGGTGACATGGTGCCGTCTGCCCCGCTGTGGCCGAGGCTGCTCGAGTCTCTTCTCATCTGTAAGCTGAGTGGGCCCCAGCCTGGAAGGGTGGGATGGAGCCCTTCTGAGGGAACACTGCTGAGGACACCGGCCTCCCAGCTGCCCTCAGACCTCTTCTATCTTCTCTCCCGCACACACTTATGCCAAGAGGACTGTTGATTCGGCCCTGGGACGGACATGTGCCCCAGGAACTGGAGAGTGGGATATTTATCAATAGGATTGCTGTGGACTCAGGGCACTCTGAACTCCAAAAGAACTTCCAGGACTTTCATTTTTTCCCAAATGATCTTGGCATCAGTGTGCTGTGGCCTGCCCTGGCCCAACGTCTACATCCGTGGTGTTTCTCCTGCTTAGATAGTGTTTCATAGAGGCAGGTTTGGTAATGTATTTCTGTCCCGATAAAATATATGAAAATATATTTCCATTGTAAAATAAGTCAGAGGGCCGGCCTCGTGGCTTAGCGGTTAAGTGTGCACTCCGCTGCTGGCGGCCCGGGGTTCGGATCCCGGGCGCGCACCGATGGACCGCTTCTCCGGCCATGCTGAAGCTGCGTCCCACATACAGCAACTAGAAGGATGTGCAACTATGACATACAACTATCTACTGGGGCTTTGGGGGAAAAATAAATTAATAAATAAAATTATAAAACAAAAACAAAAAACCATTACTTATTTAAAATAAGTCAGGGCCTGTTTTGAATTAATCACCTGATGCACAGTAATTGGGTATATATGAATCTACAAGAGAGTCTTTCTTTCCGCAAGGAAGTGCTAATTCTATTTAACACCATGCAGTGGCACATACTGTGTGCCTGGAGATTTTCCCCAGAAATCAGATTTCCACTTTCTAAAATGTAATTCAAGATTATTCTCCCTAAATTCTCTAGAAGTTGCTGCAGCAGTTCAGAAAATTTGAGTATGCACAACTAGAGAATTTACTTACTTCCCCAGAATCCTGGCAGAAGCCAAGTAAAACAGGAGTATGTGGGCCTTTCAGCCAATGCCTTGGCATCAGAGACCCAGAGAGATCATGGTGGCCTCAGAGGACAGCAGTCCACCTTCAAAGGATGCTTTGCTCTCTTTGGGACAGGAACTCATAAGATGTTTCAGAGACTCCTCCTCTCCAGATCTCTCTTCTCTCTCCCCTCTTTCCCCCATCCCTCCGACCTCTCCATCTCTCCCTCTCTCTGCTCTCCTCTCTCTGCTCTCCTCTCTCCCTCCTTCCCTTCCTTCCACTCTCACTCCCTCTCTCTCCCCACTTCTCCTTCTCTTTTTCTATTTTCCCTCCCCCACCCCTCTCTCTCTCTACTCCTACCTCATCTCTTTCCCTCTCTCTGTCTCTCCCCTCCTATGTTCAGCCTGACCCATTTATATCTAAGGATCACCATTTCTATACACTGAAATCTCAGCCCCCTTTCTTTACCCTCCCTCTGTTCCATCCTCAAAAGATTTTACAAGCAATAAAGAAATTTCTTTTCTCTCCTACTCCAATCACCATCTCCTTCCGTCTGGAGAATTCTGACATCACTGCTCTGTCTGAGTACCTAGACTTACTGCTCTACTGAAGCAGGTATACTTGAGTGATTCCACCTGACTTTTCTTTGCAAAGTCTACTAGAATAAAACAAGAGGCTCATTGCCTTGAATAAAAATGGGGAGTTTCTATTTTCTCATGCAGGGTTCAAAATTAGGCCTTGCATTTCCCCAGGGGCCAGTAATCAATCACAGAGGTATGTATTTGGATGGACAAACTATTTTCAAAAAACCTTTTTAGATCTTTGCTTAACTAATTAATAGACTAGGCTTAACACGCCCATCTGAACCTGTAAAAAAATCTGTGACTCAAACTGCCTTTCTAGACCTGTGATTCTCTAAGTGTGGTCCCTGGACCAACATCATCATCACCTGGGAACTTACTAGGAATACAAACTCTTGACCCCCACCCCAGACTGATTGGACACTGGGGGTGGGCCCAGCACCCTGTGTCCACAAGCCCTCCAAGTGCTTCCAATGCACACGTAAGTCTGAGAACCCCTGCTTCAGAGTGAAGGTCGCCATTGTGCCTGTGTCTGCAAGGTCAGATGCAAAGTTTGTATATTTGACATTGGGGAAAATGTGTGCAATGAACTGAGCCCCTGACAGCCATGATCTAGTGCAGATCTGTAAATAGGATGGATATCCTCACATCATAAGGATGTGGAAAAGCACCACGAAATGGGTCATTTTTAAAAAAGTTCTCACGCATCTTGAAAGAACTGCGAACCACCATGTGTGTGTGTGGGGGTGGCGGGGGTGGTGTGTGTGTGTGTGTGTGTGTGTGTGTGTGTGTCCTCGCACCACGAGGGGGCGCTCTGGCCTTTCCAATGCGGTCACTCTGAGACCTGCGTTTTTGTCTTTGAGGTCCTGTCATTCTCTGTATAAACAAGTTACGTTCAAGTGTTTAGGATATAAATTACGACCATGCCGGCTGCCTTGGAAGGAATGTAAACACAGCACTGTGGTCGGAGCAAACTCTGAAACTGACTTCATAATTTATAGCAGGCCCCCGTGTAGCTCAGCATAAAAGAGGAAGAAAAAAAGCCCTATTTAACTGCAAATATGATAATGGAGACACAAAAAATGTTTAAATCACTGCTTAATTCTGGAAAATACAGAAAGGAAGCCTAAGGATTAGGATGATGGTTAAGACTTTTTAAAACAAGGTGTTTTACTAATGAGGCCGTCTTTGGACTTAAATTCACTTGGAAGACAAAAGCCCCGTGTTGCCATATCTACGGAGTGGTATTAAGTGCCTAGTGACTGACTGGGAGAAAGACCTTTCAGGGAAGGAGAAACAAAGGTGAGTTAGCAAAAGCAAAAGCAAAAGCAAAAACAAAAAGCAGCCCCAAGTTGGAGAATAGAGCTGCAGTGGGACTGTGGGCTGAGCAGCTGTGTGCTCCCGCTCAGATCTGTGGGCCGCCCATGAGTTTGGAGGGCTGTGGACAAGGGCTGCATGGGAACCAAGTCCTCCTGCCCAGTCGACCTCTTTCCTCTCTTTTCCATCGGGAGCTTCACCAGCCCCAATGTAGCATTCGTGATTGGGAAACTGAGCAGGAAAGGAAAAGGGCTGGGGGAATCCCTAGGGAAACCCTCAACTCCCTGGTTAGAAGGAAGGAGTGGAGGGGACAAGGGAGGAAGGGGAGAGACATGTGCTGCTGGTGGGGCTGCTACTAAGCAGGGTGCTCCTGCTTGTAATGGGAGGGTGGGCACAGACAGCAGCCGCAGAGCACCTTGTGAGGGCCTATCCCTGCCTCCATTACTCTCCAAGGAAGTTAAAAAAGATGACTTGCTCGGAGACTGCCCACTACTGCTCGGCAGCCCTCCCCACTGGACTCTGTAGGATCTGACCTCCTCCCATCACAAAAGGTAATCAGCACCCACAACAAAACTGCGACTTCAAAGGGGAAGCTGGTCCTGTGCTTTGGGCCCCCACACCTGGCTCACTGCTCAGCCTGGTCCTGGGCAGCCCCAGGCGGTGGCTTCCACTCTGTCGGTCACTCCACTCTGTGCTAGTGGGGAAGAGGAAAGAGCCAAAGGCAACCCACTCCTTGGGCACAGGAAAGAGCAGAAAAGGGCATTAAACTTGGTGTCCTCAAATCCAACTCTTGCTTTTCTTTATCTTGCCTCGTTATCTAAGTTCCTTTCACCTTCTGGTTTTTGTTTAGCCAGAAAGAGCTAGGGTGAAGGAAAGAAAGAAATAACAGAAAGTGTTCCTTCTCTTTCTCTCCTGAGAAGACCCACAATCAGAACCTGGCCTGTGTCACTCAAGGCACAGACCCCACACCACGTCAATTATACAACTTGGGGAAAAAAAAAGCCAGTGTAGAGTTGCACTGCTGGCTGGTGGAGAAGAGAAGCTGGCCATGGTGGGGTCCCCGTGGAGGAAACAGATCCCTACACAACTATTTGTTATATACATTTTATTGAAAAAATTTTACATCAAAATAGTTTGGCAAACTGTAAAAGTATACATAAGTGCAAATATATCCTCCTTTTAAAATACAAGCAAAGTGTGAGCATACACGAAGATCATAAAAATATCTTTAAAATATGGTGGTAGAAAACAACCTTGTAAAAAACGTTGTATTGTCACAATACTGAAAACCACTTTCTTAAACTAGACGCATTGTTTCTAAATACTTTCTTAATAACGTTCTTTGGCACCTCTATCCAAATGCGGTGTTTGGCGAAACAGAACTCTCTTACTTAGCTAAGCAACAAGACAAGGCTTTCTCGAAGTCTTGTGTTTAACACTGCCTGTTTGAAAAGTACACAAATTTTCGTAGATACACACACACAACTTGTCTGCATTTTTCCAACCCTGATTACTGAAGGCAATGAAGATCCCAGAGTTACAAATTTACCTTTTTCATGTGGTAACTTTTCACCATCTCGCCAAGAAAAGGAGTTAGCAGTTCCCTCTGCCTCTCAAGGGAGCCTGCGCACATCTGGGGCATTACCTTGCAGGGATGGTCCATCCACCAGTGGTAGACAAGTATCAGTGAACAATGCTGGCCTGGGGATTCTAGCTAAGTGACTGGGGTGCTACTTACTGCTGTGGGTGCACATTCTGAGTCCACCTCAGTTCATCCCGCCGGAGGAGAGGCGGCCTGGGCCAGGCCTCCTCCCTCTGTTCACATGACGCAGGGCTTAATATCCTGACAGACGCTCTGGTGGTGGTGGTGGTGATAATACGGCCCGCTGGCAGAGGGGTGGAAGGAAGAAATGCCGTTCAAGTTGAGGACGAAGTCTTTTCTGTCACACACTGGGGCAGAGTGATGCTGGTATCGAGGCAGTCCCACTGAAAGAAGACGGAAAAGAAAACCTCTTTTCAGAAACAAACTCATCCAGCTGAGAATGGGGCATATTATTTTTAAATTTTAATTTAACTCGTGACTTATTTTGACTCAGGGTAAGAAAGGAGTTGGTGTATCTTTTTTACCTATTGCTATAAAACTGGTAAAGGAAACCCAGTTCTGGAAGCTTCGTAAAGTTTCAAACTGACGATCATAGGACGATCCTGGAATCATTATGTTTTGTTTTGCTTTGACGTACACACAAACACAGAGCAAGTCCCCGTCCAAGCCGGGGTCTCACGCGCCTTATTGCCCTATTCCTCCCGGGCCGAGGCCGCCGCCACCGCGGGAGGAGCGCGGCACCGGGACAGCCCGCCCGGGCTCTCTGTCCGGCCTGAGCGCGGCGCTCCCGGCCTCTGCCCCGGAAAAACCACTGTCGCCCTCGCCTCTTGTTTCGAGCCTCCTGCCTTATTTCCAAACTGACTGGCCCGGTCCGAGTGGCAGCCCACAGCTGGGACATTCCCTGTGCCAAAAGGGGGTGGCAAAAAACAATCTGCGTGGTTCCGAGGGGCCCAGGCGTCCTCTGGAGAGGCCAGGCCCCGAGCAGGGCGTGCCCTCGAGGAGAGCTCAGCTGCAGACCCTTCCGCACGTGGAGGCGCCTGCAGCGCGGGGAGCCCCTTGGAGAGCCCGCTCGCCCGAGCACGGAGAAGGCCCGCACCCTCTGCCCGGGCTGCTCCTCGGCCGAGGGCCTGAGCCGGGCCGCTCGGGGCCGACCCGCGCCGGCTTTTGCTTTTGCTTTCTCGGCGCCTCAGGCTCAGGGCGCAGTCGGCCGAGGGCGTCCGGCGGGCGCTGGGACCTGGACTTCTCCCGGGCCGGGCTCTCTCCGCACCGGGCAGGGTTAGGCCTGTTCGCTTGAGTCTTGCCTAGTCATCCGTGCGGGGTGGGGACCATAAGCCGCACGGTGGTGCCGGGCCCGACTGGGTTTTTCAGCGCGTGAAAACCGTACCCGCGGGCCCGCGGCGCCCGGCCTGGCTGTGTCCCAGCGCTTATGGAGCCACCAGGCTGCTAGGGGCCCCTGACTCGGCCTACGTTTATTGCCGGTAACACCTATGGTCGCCAAACATGCGCCGCACGGCCCTCGTAAAGCAGCAGCCGGCCCACGCGCCTCCAGTGTGCTCGTCGCCCTGCACACGGGGTCGTCGGCCCATCGCGTTGGAGCGCGTCGTGCTGCCAGTTCCTGGAGCTCAAGACAGCCCCGGCCGACCCAGAGCAAGGGCTCGCATCTCCCGGCCAGGGCCGCCATCGGTGCCTTGATATCACCGGAGGGACCACAAAAGCCCTAGCTCCTTCTGGAGGAAAGGCTCGTAGGACTTACTGAAGGGCGCGGGGCCTCCCTGAGCACACAGGCCTTGGCCGCCCATCGGAGTGGGAAGGCTAGCCCGCGCGCGCGCGCGCACACGTGCTGGAGGGGCCTGCTCGGCCTCCCCGCTCCTCGCCGGGCCCTCGGCTCTCAGGGGCCCGCACTCTCCGAACTAGGCCCCGCAGGGCGTCTGCCCACCTGGCCCGCCTGGCAGATGCCAACCGGGGCCGGGGGAATAATGTTCGAGAGGGACGGGAGCCAGAGGGCCAGGAAGGGGCAGAGTGTCCCGTTTGGGCTTCGGGGCCGAGCCAGGGCCTCCCCGGCGGCCCCAGACTCGGCGCGGAGGTTGGGGGAGGCTCCCGGGGAGGCCGCCGCGGGGCCGGCCTGCTCGGTCGCAGTTTTCCTTCTGGTCAAGATAGAGTCGTGTTTCCGGATCGCCACATTTCTAGGACTTGTGCGTGTGCCGGTGTGTGGAGTGACGCGAGGGCGGGCTCACGGAAGGATCAGAAGTGTCTGTCCTGCGAGTTTTTTGTTTTTAATTTTTAGGGTCCTGTTTCACGCCTGCTGCGAAGCCCCGGAGTCTGGGTTCCAGTTGAGTAGGGCTTGCCCGGAGAGGGGCAGCAGGGAGCCGGAGAGAGGCGGGTGGGCGGAAGAGCAAGCCCGGGGGCGCCGCCTGGGGGGAGCGGTGACTGACAGCCAGTCCGAGGGAACAAAAAAAATAAGAGGGCAGGGTCGTCTGTATTGGTTACTTGTTGAAATTCTCATAAAATTGAACAAGACTCTGCTCTCAGTGGGTTAAGTCACGCTAAACTCCTCTCCGGTGTGGTCTTGCCCAGACTGTCTTTGTTTAGTTAACCTCTGAGACCCGCATTTAAAAGGCCTATTTGGGAAACTTCACCGTCTAGGGAACCAACATCTTTTGCCCATTTCTGGGCTTCCCGTCTCCCCTGATGCTCTAGTCGCACACCCAGTCACCAGCCTGTTATGTATAACGGATGCATCATCCTGCGAACCGCTTTCTAATCAGGCGGGAGGTAAATGTGAGCGGAGCACCATTTGACTGGCAGACCAGCCCAATTGTAATCTGCCGCCCATGGTGCCTCTGAGGAGTTAATGTCAGAGAGTTTATCTCCACTGACCCCATAAACCTGGCTAAACAGTCAAAGTCTTTCCTCCACCTCATCTGGGCCCCACCTTTCACCACCCTCGCAAATCAATCCATTTTCATAATCTCAGACCAAGACGGTTTACACCAGCAACACTACAGGCGGCGTCCAGGGGCAGGCATTTCTCAGGGGAGTCACGGCGTGGGCCTCAGGTCCTGCGGGCCTAGTACAGACTCCTTTGTCACCAACCCGGGTCCACTGTAGGGGGAGCAGGGGACTCCTCAATGGCCTGGTGCCCCTCCCCCGGCAACATGTCCCTCCTGTGAAAGATCCTGGGACCCCACTCTGCCTTCCTGTCTGTCCCTTCCTCATTTCCCCTCCTCTCAACACCTGCCTAGTTACAACCCCTCCCCATCCAACCCCTCAGCATACAGAGCATCTCCCTTTCTGACATGTACTTTTCAAGGAAAGTACAGCAAAACAAACTAAAAGAAAAAAAGACAAAAGTAACCAGCTCCTTGGCCAAGGTCCCCAGAGGCCATATGCCTTCTTTTTAAGCTAAGTCAGGTCTGAGACTTGAGACCTGCAATCCATAGGGGCACCCAGAGACCCTAAAATGGCTGGGGACTTTGCATCCTCCTCCTAGCAGCGCGATTTCTGGAGGCCTAGCTCTGGGCCAAGGGTGTGGGGGAGGGCAGTATGACTCCAGTCCTCTCCCCCTGAATAAGGTGCCAGCTCCCGCCAGCACCCGCTCCTCCTAGTGCCCTCAGACCCGGAGGCTGCGGCGACCCGGTAGAAGTGGCAGTAGCCTACGGGCCCGGAGGCCTAGAAGCGCCCTCTCCCCGGCCCCCCGGGGCCGGCCCGGGCGCTGCGTTACCTGGGAGGTCCTCGCGGGTGTTCTGGTGCAGGTAGGTCTGCTCCAGCGAGTAGGAGGACATGCCAGAGTGCAGGCCGGCCGAGGCCGCGGGGTTGCTGCTTGGCGTTAGGGCGGGCGGCTGCTTGAGGTAAGGCGAGGCGCCGGGCGAGCTCCAGTGAGCCGCGGGGCTCGTGTAGGGCGAGTGGCACTCGATGGCGCTCGCCATGGCCGGGGACGAGGGCACGGGGCTGCTGCTGCTGTCCGGGCCGTAGTCCCCGCCACCACCGCCGCCCCCGGCCGCACCGACGCCCCCCGGCCCGGCGGGCACGGGGCAGCTGGCCATGTAGGTGGAGCCCGGGTTGGGCGACATGTGCGGGACGTGGTGGTGGTGGTGGTGGTGGTGCGGGTGCGCGTGGCCCGGGGCGCCTGCGCCGGCGTCGTAGCCCGTGGGCATCATGTCGAGGCCGCCGTAGCCGCCCTGCCCGTGGCAGCCGAGCGGCGCCGACGGGGGCGCCTGGAAGTCGAAGCCCTGGGGCAGCAGCGAGGCCCCGAAGCCCAAGCCGCTCACCACGCGGTGGTACATGGGCTTGAGCGCTTGGCACTTCCGCCTGAAGCCCCGCGGCCGGCGGCGGAACGAGCCCTCCTCGAACATGAACTCGCTGGCCGGGTCGATGGTCCAGTAGTGGCCCTTGCCCGGCCGCCCGAGGCCCTTGGGCAGCTTGATGAAGCACTCGTTGAGCGAGAGGTTGTGGCGCACGGAGTTCTTCCAGCCCTGGTAGGCGCCGCGGAAGAAGGGGAAGCGCGCCTGCAGGAACTGGTAGATCTCGCTGAGCGTCAGGCGCTTGCTGGGCGAGCTCTGGATGGCCATGACGATGAGCGCGATGTACGAGTAGGGCGGCTTCTCGGGCCGCCGCAGCCCCGAGCTCGCCTTCTTGGCGCCCCCGCTCCCGGCGCCCGCGCCGCCGCCGCCCGCACTCCTGCAGGCAGCCGAGGAGGCGCTGGCCGAGTTGGAGGAGGAAGAGGAGGAGGAGGCGCAGGAGGCGGAGGACGACGACGACGACGACGACGACGACGAGGTGGTCTCCAGGGCTGCGGCGGCGGACGGCGGGCTCATCAAGGCGGCCTGGAGCGCGCCGGGGGCCGGGCTGCACGCGCGGCGGAGCGGGG